CTGTTTATGATCTCCATCTGTGTTTGCGTGTTTTTGGGTTTGTGTGTTTTTATTCATTATTTCGGGTCATTAAAAAAAATGCAAATTTTATCATTGATATTAATTTTGGAAAAAGGTCGATATCCAACAGCACTCTCTCATTACACTTGCACAACATTAAAGTTGTTCATTCTTCATTTAAAATTTTCATTTTATTGTGGTTTCATTACTTTGATCTGTTAATTACAAACATGCGATGCCTAATGCAATGCTATAATAATCCCGATTGCCGTAAAATTATTTTTTTGGCATTTTCAATGCAATAAGTTCGCATCACGGGTCTCGTATCGTTCATCGTCTGAATAGCATGCGCAGAATCCATTTGTTCGTTCACTTGTTTCTCAGTCCACTTGTCCTAGTAAGGGTCGCAGTGGCAGGATCTTGAGTAGGGTGGTCCAGACCTCCCTAAACTATACACTACACACTCTTATACACTATTATACACTACACTATACACTACTACACACAGGCTCTAGCTCTTCCTGGGGAATTCCCAGGTGTTCCCAGGCCAGCTGAGCGACATAGTCCTGCCAGTGTGTCCTGGGCCGGCCTCAGTGGTCTTGACATTATTATCATTCAAATCCCTTTTACATCTCCCAATGAGTACAATTGGAGACCGAGTTGGACATATGAACTGTAATTCGCTGTTCATTTATCCCACGGTGGATGAAATGCGTTGTTTTGTTTTAAACGATCACAGGCACGAGTTTTATTGTGAGCATCCACAGCCCTTTGTCAGTCCACTGCTGGTGAGGGCCTTCTCATGGCCCTCGTGTGGTTGTGGGGCTTATTTCACTATGCTTCTATTCAACATTATTTGTACTCTTCACCTTTTGGCGTTCTCTGGTCTGACACGGGTAGTGAGACTAGGCCAATCAGTTACAAAGAGATTGCATATATGATCAGAGTGTTTTTGCATGTTCACCACAAGTGCATGTGGTTAATGCAGACTTAATTCCTTGCAAAAGGTTTCTATTTGGTGTTTGAACATCTTAACACCTGTTTTATTGGCAGAAAGGGTAAAACCTATAATTATTTCATAACAATTTTTTTTCTCAGGTAATAAGAGCAATGTAGCTCTTTTTCAGAGGCGACCTGGCTGTCACAAATGATAGCTCAATGAACTGGCTCATCATCATGTGAAAATTTATAGCAGCCCAAATACTCTAAACACAAGATGTTGCTTCTAAATGTGGAGGAAAAACTGGAGGACCCGGATAAAAAAAAATCCATGAGACCACAGGGAGAGAGACACGCAAACTTCAAAGATACAGCAGGTGTCAGGGTTGGGATCAGACCCACAACTGCCTACATACCAGGCGAGGGAGATCACATTTCGCCACCGCTTCACTACGCCTGTCAGCACGGGTTGGTGAAGGACATCTGAATGGACAGCGCACGTTTGGTGTTTCAAGAGTGAACAGAAAAATAACTGTTTGGGAAGTAAAAAAAGACGGCTTAAGTTATAACATGAAAACAAAGAGTCACATTCTTTGTTCATATTAATTTTAAGGCACAGTGCACGAGGGGCCCTACAGGGGGGTCGCGTGACAAAACTTTGCTTCCCAATGGTCCGAGTCGATTCCTCGCACGACGCATTTGAATCGACGATTATATCATCATTCCCAGGTGATTCCAGGCTTAAAGTCAACGGGGATGTTGGAACCCCTCGGGACAGGAGCTAATTCTCACTCTCATCTACAATGAAACGACAACTGTATTAGGGAGCTCATGTTCCCTGAAATATTGCAAACGACAGAGGGTGCAAGAAAGCCGCCACCCTCCACAGTGCTGCGATATTGGGAGCAACAATAGCAGGCGTCGGTGGGAAAGAACAAACCCCGAAAAGTACTTGAGACCCCAGACCCATATTCTTCGTCACATCTCTGGCTGTAAGCCCAGCTCGGCTCATTCTTGATGCTACTCCGTTACTTTCACAAGACCCATGGCTTGGCTCAGGCCCAGGCCCAGGCTCAAGCTCTTCCACAGACATTCTGAGCAAAGGGTGGGAACTACGCTCGGATCCGGCTTAAGCCCAGGAAAGCTTTGTCACTGCATTTCGTTAACTTGTTCTTGGTAATCATATAACTATAATGATGATAGCCATGATATTAATACTATTGAACTAATGAAAAATATTGAACAAGTAATGATACTCCTGATGACTTTGGGTGTACAAACGATGATGGGTTTTCTAAAAAATATATGTATGGGGTACATTGAACTTCTTTCGCACCATACGTAGCCAAACCTGCTCATTGGATATATATAAAAAGGATAGCACTAATTATAATGTGGATCGTGATAATGAATTTGTTGGGTGTATTGATGTTTCCACTGATAATGATCAGGCCACTTGAGATGATGGTTTCTCTGCTATAACTGGAACTTATTGCGATTGCCAGTAATAATAAAACATAATTAATGAACAGACGAGGGCTGGTTTCTCCATGAGAGCCCAGGGGCACTTTAGCAGAATCCACCGGCTGATGGAAAAGGTTGGTGTGGAGGGTGCCTGCTTGGGACAGGTACCTGCTAGACCACATCTTTTTTGCAGAAGGCTCGTAGGTTGAAGGACTAAATCGTTATTTTAATTTGACGTAAGGGATGCCCGTCTTTCACGATAACGTTTTTGTCGTATGCCCACCTCCACCCGACAAAGCCAGTTAGCGAGGTTTGTCAAGTTGTGAACAAAACGCGTCAATCGCTTGCTACTTCGGCACACGGGTTGTGTTACAGAGCAAACAATTTCAGTTAACCGCGTTTCGCTGGTGCTTTGCAACCAGCTTCTTCAGGCGATCGCCAGAATTTTGAAGATTTCCTGTTTTCGATCATATACAGGGTTGGGTGATGTCATCTCTGTGAAAGGAACCAGGGGGGTTAATTTCAGACTCAGAATATTTATTTATACTGGAAGAATCACAAATGTACAGTAAAATGTATTTGATTGCATCGCCTTTACCTTTAAGCGAATCTAACCCACACACAAACGTTTACCGTGAATAATATTGGCCGCGAAAGCCTACGCGTTAGATGCCTGTCGAATGAACACTTTTATCTACCAACATGAAAAAACAATAATTATCTCTGGTCTCATCCTTCTCTAACCAAGTTTACACAGGAGATTGAGGGGGAAATAAAACGGTGGTGATCTCCAAACATTAAAAAAAATCCTATCGTGTGCACGCTCAAGATACCTGTTCCAGTTTGTAAATCAGCAACCCTTCCATCACCACCGCTTTCCTGCCTGTGCCGTCTGTGAGGTTCAAGCATGCGTATGTGTTTGTCTGCACACATTTTGTCACGACCTCTTTCCTGGCCGCTCGATGTTATTGGGGTTTTGGTCCTGTGTTCGGCAACTAAAATGAGGTGTGTCCGTCAGATGATCTTAAATGTTGACGGCATAGTGCTTCCTTTTCGATGTGGCTCTTGTGGATCTCGGGATACGGTTTCTCAGATGCAGGCCTGGGGGCCTCTGAAGAGGCCACAACAATCCCAAATTTATACCTGGGTGATGTATATATGTATGTATGTTGAACTTCTTTCGCAACGTACGTAGCCAACCGTGCTAATCAGGGGTGTGGGTGATGCTGAGATCCCAGTTTTTTTCCAATGAAATACAGTGGGTCCCTCAGTTTATGATATTACTTCGTTTGACACGTAGGCTCTCACGACCAACATTCATAATATAAGTTTTTGGGTTAGGTCGCGTAAATATAAATGTTGTTTCGTTAACCTGTCACCACCGAACACAGACAACCAGTAAGGGTTGTCACGTAAACAAAACGTGCCAATTATTTATTTTCCAGAATTAGGGTGATGCTGGATGTAATAACTGGTGAAACGTCACAGTCAAATGGTAAATGTTGTGGATTTGCTCTCCAATACACCGGTGTGCTGAACTCATAACTAATTGGCACGTTTGTTTGTGACAAACCTTACTGGCTGTGTCGGATGGTGGTGGGTTAATGACACATTTATACTTGTGTGATCTAACCCTAAAACCTTTATTATGGATATTAATTGGTTCCACAAAAACTGTCGTTAATTAAAATGATCGTAAATTGAATGTAGGAAATTCACGTTAAAAGGCATAATTTTTTCCAAGATGATCAGAAGTTGATATTTTCACTTTAAAAACAGTTTATAATATTAAAGTATTCCAGAGAGCTGTTTGCATAAGCAATACACATCAACCATTGAAAAGCGAGCAGCCAGTTGCTCTTAAAATGCTCATAGAAGTCCACTTAGGAGCACTCTGCTTGGCCGAAATTGGTGGGTCCAGTAATATCGCAAACAAAACCGTAAATCTAAAATGTATTGTTCATAGACACAATGGGACCCTATCAAGTGTGTATGCTGTGAATAGTGACCTCCATTACATGTGAACGGATTCCAGTTTGTAGAGCGGAGCATCCCAACCGTGGGATTCCGCAAGGTCTTATGTCGACAAATAATTGAGAAAAGACACCTTAAATGCAACGTGCCCTTCTATTTTATTATTAATGTTGTGCTCTGAATCTGGTTAATTAGCTTTCCACTTTGCTGCGTTTTTGTGCACAGTATAGTCTGTTCTCCTATAACGCCGCGTGTTGTTTTCATGACGCGAATTAGATATAACGTGATCAAGTGACCGTAACTATGTCGTGTGAGTCAGAATAAGCGATCTCACGGCTGCCTCGGCGTAGCATCGCACAAGACACTGGGATGCTGCTGGATGCTTCTAGATGCTACCCACGAACCGCAGTCTTTGTTCGGCCTGCGTACGCATGTCACGCGTTATCGTGGCCTGTTGCTTTACCCTATATTATATATTATTTATAATATCACGATTTTTCCATAACGCGGTGTTCTTCAAGAACGCAATTACTACCACAGCCACGTTATAGGAGAACAACAGAGACTGTGTTAGAAGTACGTAACAGTGACAAACGGAAGCACTTTCGACCCTGCTGCTGTAGGTCAGTGGCACGATGTACAACACGGGGCGGCACATGACGCTACGCTTGGACAAAGACCACCTCGTGAATATCTCTGGAGGCCCCATCGTCTACGGCAACCGCTTGGAGGAGATCCGACTCCATTTTGGCAGCAAGGATGGACAAGGCTCAGAGCACATGCTGAACGGACAGGCGTTTGCAGGAGAGGTAAGTGCAACATCGACGGTCGCGACAGTGCCATTGTTAAATTACGATGCCAGATGAAGGTGCGGTAGACTCTCGATTAATCTGCGTGCCATTTGTCCGATTTGCAGATTAACCACGCACACCTGAGATTTTGACGTAAATTAATTACTAATGGAATTTCCCGTCAGCCCAAATTAATAATCTAAACACAATTATACATTGTTTTTCTTGGAAATGTTTATTCCAAGTCACGTGCTTAAACCAAAGAAATATGTGCTCTGGTGAATTGGAAATAAACGCGATCGCCTCTATAGTACAGTAGTTGCCTATCTTTACAACAGTGGGCAGAGTTTGATTGATGTTGATTGGTGTGGCTCTGCTGCTGTCCACTTAGTGGGCTGAGTATTCTGCGCGGGAGCAGGAAAGTGTTGTCACTGAGCACGTGCTTCGATCGGTCTATTGTTAATTTTTGGCATAGAGATCCATGGAAAATGGTTATATTTTTGTATTATCCGCAATTTGTAATTATCTGCAGCCATCCCCGTCATTAGCGCAGATTAATCGAGAGTGTACTGTATCTTAATTCCCACTTTCTGCCTTTTCTGATATCAGACGTGCACAGTTGCAATCCGTGTCCCTTCCCTTCCCTCATCTCCCTCACTTCCCTCGCCAGCAATCCATATCCCTTCCCTCGTCTCATCAGTTGATCGCTTGGTCACACTTTGAAGTGTGTGCCCTCTTTTTTCAATAACTTAATGAAGTCCCACCCATTGAAATTTGTTCCAGGAGTCCAAATAATATTGTGTGAGTGGCAGTGGTGGATTCTTAATCGCTTTTCCACGTGTCTTTTACATTCTTTGCGTGTTTGTCTCACCAAGTGGTATCCTGCAGTGTTAAGTATTAAACCGATTAGCACGGTTGGCTATGTACAGTGCGAAATAAGTTCAGCATACACACGCACACACATTAAAAGTACCTGCTCGTGTAAAGTTTCACCCTCTGTTATCCTTGCACGTTGCAACGGTGGCGCTGAATTGTGAGGCACTGACACTCGGTTGCTTTTTCTAGGTGCAGCTAATTCACTACAACCACGAGCTCTACACAAACGTGTCGGACGCAGCCCGCAACCCAGCAGGACTCACCATCGTCACCATTTTTATGAAGGTAATTGTTAATTCTTTTTTTGTTATCGGAATTTTTTTGCAGAAATGACTAACAGTCTTATTGCTCGTCTTCGTTGTCGTTTTTATAGATTATGTATATTCTACCCGACTATGGGTTTAATGTCCATCACAAATGGGTAGAAATATTTGTGCACATAAACGTGACCAATACTCATTGCAGCACGTTATACCAAGAGGCTGTTCCTCCACCACAGAGTTTGTAGATCAAGCCAGCGCCAACTGGACTATGTGAACCACTGTTATCAGGCAGAGCGATACACTTTAATACTTTACTAAATAAGCTATAAAAAAATACTATTTAAACTATTTATTTTACCAGGTAAGGCCCACTGAGCTGTATAGCTCTTTTTCAGAAGATCTGGCTGTCACAAATGATAGCTGGGCTGAACATCACGTGGGCTGACCATGTGAAAATTTATAGCAGCCAAATCCTCTAAATGCATGTTTCTAGATGTGGGGGAAAAAAACAGAAGACCCTGAGGACAATACACGTGACCACAGGGAGAGAGAGAGAGAGACAAGCAAACTCCAAATATACAGCAGGTATCAGGGTCGGGATCGAACTCACGACCTCCTGTATACCAGGTGATGGAGTTAACATCTCGTCACCGTGGGCAGTGATGGACAACCCAGACTATAGTCAGTGGGGCCCCATGAGCAGCCCTCCTGCACCTCAGTGGGCCGCAGGCTTGGCATCGTGCTTTGTCACGACCCCACGCATCGCCCCTCGACACCGTGAGCAAGGCCACCATGAGGGGCTGCAAGGGCCACAGGTTACCCACACCACTGCTCCAGAGCCACCATCAAAAATACATGCGTGACCTCATGGGGGGTCAACATGGAAACAGGGTATTCTGTGAGTGGCAGATCTCTTGCATCAGTCAAACATGTATGGGCAGTCATCGACTTATGAACACATTTAGTTCCTGAGACCCGTTCGTAAGTTGGACCACAGTAATCTACCATATTTAAATGCCCACAAACACACACACAAGCACTCCCAGCATGAGGCAGGTGCGAGTTGGTTCGTAAGTGCAGTTGTTCGTAAGTGCAGGTGTTCATAAGTCCAGGTGTTCGTAAGTCCAGGTGTCCGTAAGTGTGGGCGTTCGTAAGTGCGGCCATTCGTAAGTGCAGCTGTGTTCGTAAGTGCGGGCGTTCGTAAGTCGGGTGTTCGTAAGTCGATGACTACATGTACAGTGACTGCCCTCACCACAAGGAAGGGGGGACAGGGATGACAGGTGGGACGGAGGAGCGAAGGATCAAGTCCACAGACTCGCGCGGCCCTTGGGTTATTCAGACAATAAATTGAGCCATTCTGGGCTATTCATAGGATCTCCTCCAGAGCCGATGTGACATCGTACCTGTATGTGCATGTTAAGGCTTCACGTGAACTGGTATAATTTTTCAATTGTACCTTTAGTGCCTTCACAGTTTTTACACAGTGGGAGATGCGAATTCTGCCTGAAATGGCAAAAGTGTTGGCTGCACATATTTTTGTTATATATAAAACAATTATAATGATCTGTTGTACCACAATAGCCGGAAGATCTAGCAGAAGGGAGTGATGGTGAGGTGCGGTGGTGTCAATGATATTAACTTCCCAACCTAATACGCACCAACTTCTTAAGATTACATATTCACTTCGTTAAGGAGTGAGGCAAAATTATGTTAAACTTCTCAAATCTTGTACATTCAGTGAAGGACTAATGCTATCGATGGAGAAGTAATGATTCAAACATTTTAATGGCATGGAAATCTACTACGAGTACTACTGTTTCATTTACCAGGTAAAGCCCTCTGCGCCATTAACTCCTGTTCAGAGGTGACCTGGCCACACATCGTAGTGGCTTTACCATCATCATCACTCGTGGGAATTTATAGCAGCCAAATAATCCAAGCATTTTTAGGGCAAACACTGGAGGAGCCTAGAAAAAAAATCCACGTGACCACGGGGAGAGAGAACATGCCAACTCCAGATGTACAACGGGCCATCATCAGGGTCAGGATCGAACCCATTACCTCCCGCGTATCAGCCGAGGGAGATGACACCTTATCTCGCCACCACGGGGCAAACATCGCGATCCCCCTCCTTGCCCCCCCCCACATCCCCTCACAAGTCAATCTCACGCCTCTACCCACTCGTCGCAGCTCCTCAGTTCAACTTGAGAGGTTTGTTTTGGTATTCATGAGCAGCGTGGCATGACTTCAAAATGTTAATTATTTAAGCTTCTTCAGATGCGAGCTGTCATGCGTTTCCCCCTGTTGTATATGTAGGTTATGAAAATTTGATGAAAATAATAAAAATTAAATGACATTTTAAAAAATGCGTAATTATCCTAAATTATGTTAATCTGTGTAACTATGCGTATGAATTATGCTAATTCGGGAGATAATTGTATTAATTTATGCGAGTGTGTGTGGTTATGCTAATGCGAGCCGATAATTAGGCTCCGCCTCGCTGACGAGGGTCGGTTATCAATCGGGATAATGCAATTAATCGTATGCAGTTATGCAGATACTGTAAGCATGTCAGATGAAACTCGGCATCGTTGTTTAACTTCACATTATCGATCAGTATAATACAATTATTCTCGCTTTAACATTTACTGAGTGTGTTAGTGTGTTCAGCCAGGTCTCCAAGTTCACATCTCGGCGCAGAATACAGTTCTTATGCATAAATTTCAGGAAAGAACACACAGCCACTTCTGCGTTAATCAATTTTATTTTCTAACTAAACTTTAACTCTAGAAGATGCAACTCTCAATCTTGGAATTTCAACACAGTATCAATACAGTATCATCAACGACTGTGTGGTTTCACTTTGACAACAGCACATTGATTCATTCCCCCGCGTAACGCGAGCTCAGTTGGTGAGAGAGACGTTAAAAACATGCATTTGCTATTCTATCAAAAACCTTAACTTTATAATATGCAAATTCGTACATTTGAAAATTGCCCACACAGTACCGCATCCATTCATAGACCTTCAAGGCAATTCTTATCACGTTGTTTCACTTTGGGTCACGGAGCAGTTGGTTATTATGCAGTGTAACACGAGCATATGGAAAATATGAATAAAGTCCTTAATATTATGCGACAGTATTCATACGAAAAGCAATCAAACAATTATTATTCCTAAAGGCACAAATATATCAATAGATCCATCGGCAAGATTATATGATTACAGAGATGGCTTGGAGTGAGGGTGTGTGATGGGGTGTGCTTTTTCCCTTGAGATTCTTATTTTGGGCCAACTTTTAATTAATTGTGGACCAAGTTGCCTGATAAGGAAACCTGGTTGGACACGCTATTCTCCCCCCCCCCCCCGCCCCTTGAGCGTAGCTCCGTGGTGAAGGTGTCAAGGATTATAAAGTATTAAAGCTGTGTTGTTGGCCTGACTGGATGTGCTTCACAATGTTTTTTCAGGTTTGTTGAATTCTCGTCTCTCATCTTTTTGTTGTATTTACCTCCGTGATTTGTTCTTGACCGTTGTAATTATGTGTAAGATGTGCCCTTTTTTGAGCTGCCATTTTGTATTTACAAGAGGTGGTCTTTTTTGAGCTGCCGTTTTGTGTGTGTAAGATGTGCGTGTTTGAGCTGCCGCTCTCTCTGGCCCCTCCCCCCCTCCAACCGTATTTCCTATTTAAGCTTCTGTTCATCCCTCCGCCCCCCCCCCCTCTCTCTGCCTCCCTCTCCGTCTTTCCTCCCTTCTTACCTCTTGGTGGACTTGTATATGTATTTCTTCTGACCGTGTACCTCGTATTTTTCATTATATATATGCTGGTATGTGCAATCCAAAGGTTGAACACGAAATTTAACACTCTTCTGAAATTCGTGGTCCGCCAGGAAGTGTCTAACTGTGTTGTTGGCCTGACTGGATGTGCTCCACATAATGTTTTTTTCAGGTTTGTTGAATTCTCGTCTTTCATATTTTTGTTGTATTTACCTCCGTGATTTGTTCTTGACACCTGATTAAGATCGCTTGCATTGTGATCAAAACGTCGTGATTGTTTTTGTTTTAATATAATTTTATTCTGTCTATATACGTGACTTTACCGAAAAAACCAATGAGTGTCAAGGATTAATTCGTATTGATGGATCTGTTGGTAATTTATGCGATTTGAAGTACAACCCAAGACAAAAGAATTAAGAAGGAAGAAATATTATTAATGTACTTATGAACGACGGACTGTTATCACCCGATCTGTCGTGATGCTTTCACAGCCACTGATGGTTCACGTTTTGAGGATTAGGCTTTTGTTCTGGACTCGTGTATGGGTGAGAGATATGGATTGTGTTGAGTAGTCAGTGTTCGGAATTGATTCTTTATGTCAAGCAGACGCCTGGTTTGTCGTGTGGTGGGGGGCAGTGTGCGTCATACCTATCAGTTGATTCTTCTCTCACAGTCGTCGATTCGGGTTCGGCTGACGTAGGTTGACAGGTTGACACGTTGTAGTTGCGATGGTCGTCGGTAGATGGCGATCACAGCTTGCTGCAGCTGTCGGCGATGGTGGTGCGCCGTCGGTAGGTAGCTGGCTCACGGCTCGCTCGTAGCGGGCCGTGTTGCACGATCGGTAGATGGTGCTCGTCTGCTGGTCGCTGACACGGTTGTGTCATTGTCGTGATGCTTGCTGGTTGCACGCTATCTGGCGCTGGGCGATACGTTTGTTGCGATGCTCCTTCTGATGGCAGATTCGCACCGTGTAGCCTGTCGCTAAACAGCGAATCTTGCCATTCTGGCGAGTTGTAGAAACTTCTTCTGCGTCAGTGGTGGTGGATCTTCTTCTGCAGGGATGAGTTGAGCTGGTCCGCTGATCGCTGAGCTTGTCCGCTAGCTAATGAGTTCAATTCAATGCTGTAGCGTCCTATTTTATATGCCAAAATCTCTTTTCTTGGCTCCTCCTTACAAGGCGGAGCTCCTTTTGATTTAGCTGTGTGTCGTGGTCTGGAGTGTGTGTCCGTATGTGTGTCCATATGTGTGTCAGTGTGTGTGTCATTTACGGCATGGTTCTGTTGCCCTCCTCTTTCCCCTCCCCCCACCTCTACTGCTAAACTTATTGCGCCCCTTGCTTTCTCCTACCCCTCCCCCCTCTTCTGCTGCCGTGCCCCTTGCTATCTTCGGCCCCTCCCCCCACCTCTACTGCTTATTTTAAGCCTCTGTTCATCCCTCCAGCCCTTTTTTTCTTTCTTCTCTGTCCGTCCTTCCTCTTCCTACCTCTGCTGCCTTGTACCTCGTATTTGTTCACTCTGTCTATGCTGGTATGTTCAACCCAGAGGATGAACACGAAATTTAGCACTCTTCTGAAATTCGTGGTCCGCCAGGCAAGTGTCTGTGTTGTTGGCCTGACTGGTTTTGCATGACGTAATTTTTTTCTTAGGTTTGTTGAATTCTCGTCTCTCATCTTGTTGTATTTACCTCCGTGCAGTTTAACGCTCTCTATGTGTTGCGTTGATGTCACCCGATATGCTCCCTCGCTATTTGTTTTTTACACCTGATGAAAATCGCTTGTGTTGCGGTCGAAACGTCGTGATTGATTTATTTTAATAGAATTTTATGGTATTTCTACATACGTGACGTTACCGAAAAAACCAATGAGTAATTTATGCAGTCACGAAAGCTTTGATTCTTTATTAACACACTTCTACGGGGAAGTTACCTTTACAATTCTGTCCTAAACTTATTGCGCCCCTTGCTTTCTCCTACCCCTCCCCCCTCTTCTGCTACCGTGCCCCTTGCTCTCTTCGGCCCCTCCCCCCACCTCTGCTGCTTATTTTAAACCTCTGTCTGTTCATCCCTCCGGCCCTTTTTCTTGCTTCTCTGTCCGTCTTTCCTCTTCCTGCCTCTGCTGCCTTGTACCTCGTATTTGTTCACTCTGTCTATGCTGGTATGTTCGACCCAGAGGATGACCACGAAATTTAGCACTCTTCTGAAATTCGTAGTCCGCAAGGCAAGTGTCTAACTGTGTTACACGAAATTCGTGATCTGATCCCATCCATGAAGGATGTCATTCCTGATTTACAGTACCCCGGGGTTTACAAATTGAGTTGTACCTGCGGTGATTGCTATATTGGGGAGACAAAGGGACATGTCTCTGACCAAATTCGCGAGCACAAATCAGATTTGAAACACGGCAAAACGAATTCTTCTGCCGTGGCTGATCACTGTTACAACACTGTGGGGGATCACGATATAATTTTCTCCGATACCAAGGTTCTTTGCAAACCCACGGGCTTTTATCAGAGATTTGTTCATGAAGCAATTCAGATCTACAAACACAGACACAATTTCAACCGAGAGGATGGTTTCAAATTAAGCAACCATTGGAAAGATGTTCTAAATCGAACTAAACATTAAACTAATTTCAATGGTACAGTATATTTTTTCAAGTAGTGGTACCCCAAACTTTCGCAGCTCTTATACATTCCCCCTTTTCACACCATCAATAGGTAAACTCCCCCCCCCCCCCCCCGTGCCAAACAGCAAGTCAACCGGCACGTACACTACCTCTTTCCTAAAATCCGCCAATCAAATGCTAATTTTTATGCTAATTTCTTTGTCAGAACACCTTGTTTGCTCGCACACAGTTTAAAGGTCCGCTGTCTGAGCGTGGTTGTGTTTCACTAAATTCTCCTGTTTGATGAGTACTAGGTGCCTCGGTGAATGTATATGCTCTAACTTTAACGTAGCTATTTCTGTGACCAGTTACAAGCTAATCACTCAGCTATTTCAATGCTAAATTCTATGCTAATTCCTTTGTCAAGGGGTACCTCTGCGGATGTGTATACTTTAACTTAGCTATTTCACTGAGCCATTTCAATGCTAAATTATATGCTAATTCCTTTGTCAAGGCGCTTTGTTATTTTTCTTCTCACACAGCTTAAAGGTCGTGATCTAAGCGTGGCTTCTCTCACTCCAGCGCTGTCCTCCAGACAGTCTCGTCCCTTCACCTGATGAAGGCCGCTTGTGTTGTGGCCGAAACGTCGTGATTTTTTGTTATTTTATTTTCACCTACGTGACTTTACCCAATAGAACCAAAGAGTATCTAACTGTGTTGTTGGCCTGACTGGTTTTGCATGACGTAATTTTTTTCTTAGGTTTGTTGAATTCTCGTCTCTCATCTTGTTGTATTTACCTCCGTGCAGTTTAACGCTCTCTATGTGTTGCACCCGATATGCTCCCTCGCTATTTGTTTTTTACACCTGATGAAGATCACTTGTGTTGCAGTCGAAACGTCGTGATTGATTTATTTTAATATAATTTTATGGTATTTCTACATACGTGACGTTACCGAAAAAACCAATGAGTAATTTATGCAGTCACGAAAGCTTTAATTCTTTATTAACACACTTCTACGGGGAAGTTACCTTTACAATTCTGTCCTAAACTTATTGCGCCCCTTGCTTTCTCTTACCCCTCCCCCCTCTTCTGCTACCGTACCCCTTGCTCTCTTCGGCCCCTCCCCCCACCTCTACTGCTTATTTTAAGCCTCTGTCTGTTCATCCCTCCGGCCCTTATTCTTGCTTCTCTGTCCGTCTTTCCTCTTCCTGCCTCTTCTGCCTTGTACCTCGTATTTGTTCACTCTGTCTATGCTGGTATGTTCAACCCAGAGGATGAACACGAAATTTAGCACTCTTCTGAAATTCGTGGTCCGCCAGGCAAGTGTCTAACTGTGTTGTTGGCCTGACTGGTTTTGCATCGCATATTTTTTTCTTAGGTTTGTTGAATTCTCGTCTCTCATCTTCTTATTGTATTTACCTCCGTACAGTTTAACGCTCACTATGTGTTGCGTTGATGTCACCCTATATGTTCCCCCGCTATTTGTTTTTTACACCTGATGAAGATCGCTTGTGTTGCGGTCGAAACGTTGTGATTGATTTATTTTAATGTAATTTTATGGTATTTCTACATACGTGACTTTACCGAAAAAAACAATGAGTAATGTTACAAATCGTCTCGAAGGCGTCTCTCTGTCTGCCTGTGCAAGAGGGAGGGGCGAGTTTTCCCCCTGTATGACTTTTTCCGACGCACAAAGGTTGGGTTAAGGTTTTTAAGTTAACATTTTATTCCATCGTAGTTTGGTATCGTACCACTTACAGTTATGATTCTGTATGTGACTCAAGGTCTGTTGTGTTAGTTTTCCATCGTGGTGTTCGATTTTATTTCAAGGGAAGGTGCTCTCTTGAGCGAATGCATATTCTTATCACGTGCTGCGGGAAGACAAAGACGGCCGGGAGGCTCTCTCTCTCCGTTGCCCTCGGTTTACCATCGCTCAAATATCATTTGTTTCATGTTCAACAAGGTTGTAATTCACCCCGTTATCTTGGCCCTTCCTCAGTTTTATTTTTTTCATCATTCCGTGTGTAAGCTTTATCATTTATATCATTTTATTTCCGATATCCTGAGCCAAGAGATAAGTTTCTTGATCCTGGGAATTCGTATCCCTTGGTGTTTTCAAGGTTATATAAACGGAATATAGTTTACGGTGAATAACGTTAACATTAATGTTATGTATGACTCATGTATTGTGTGTTGTTTTAATTACTTGTCCGCTCGGCTTCGCTGACGCGCTCTGCGCGGCTCTAAGGAATTTCCCCCCCTCTCTGCTTGCACGGGTGTGTGTGTGTTTATTGTGACATCGCTCTTCCGAGGGCGCAGATGGCCTGCGATAATTCTTGTCTCTGGTGTTATTCCTGCTCTCCCACGCTGCGGGAAGACAAAGGCGGCCGGGGTCTCTTTCTCTCTCTCTAACCCTTGAGTTAACACTGCATTATTATTATTTGCTTATGTCCTGAGGTTAGAGAATTCGTTTTGACTTAGGAAAAATTCTGATTGCCATATGCTTCGGGTCAAGTTGTGTAGAAATTATTAAAGATGGAAATAACATTTCGTATTGAATTAATAGATGGGTAATGGTTCATTGATGTAGCTTGTGGCCTGGTTTTTAATTGGAGTGAGCGGGAGGATCGATAGTTTTAGCTTATTCCTGTTGTTGGATTTTGAACTTTCACGTTACTTTAATAGCAATGAAGGGGAAAAAAAATGGTTTAGCGGTTGGCTTTGGCTATATCTGCGGGCTGACGAAAGGGGCGAACTCTCGGCGACCCCGGGTGCTGCTTTACATCAATCCTGCTGTTTGCTTGCCCAGTGTTGGGTCTGTGCCCTCTGACCCTGGGCATGTTTGTGAACTGTCAAAATTATGTCAGCAGGTCATGGTAAATCGTCCCTTGGCAATCTGGCGATTCTCCGATAGCCAATAACCCTTCTCTAGCCCGAGAGGTTATTATTTATTTATATTTTACGGCCTTTTGACGCTTTCCATCTGTGTTTGCTGCGCTTGCGTGTTTTCATTTATTATTTCTCTAAAAAAATATCGGCAAATATTCTTGTTGATATTGTGGAAAAAGGGCCATATACAACACCCCCCCAACTTTGCTGACGTGCAGGTGTCGGAGACTACTAACCGGTTTTTGGACAGACTGCTCAACCGAGACACCATAACAAGAATCGCATACAAAAGTAAGGGGCTCTTAATTGTCTGTTGTGCGGGAGAAAAATATACCAACATTGGACCTTTCCATTAAAATGTATTATTTATTCTGCTTGTTTACAGGTGATTTACAAACTCCACACAGAGTCGCCCAAGTTGGGAATTAAACCCAAGGCGTACTTGCTGTGAGGCACAAGTGTTATCAATGCGCCATCCCCCACAAGTGTTATCAATGCGCGAACCTCATCCCCCAATGTTTGCATTCAATAATCCCCATTGAAAGTAAACTAAACTATAAACTCTTCTTTGGTTCTTTCGGTAAAGTCACGTAGAATGAGAATAAAATAATAAATTGATAAAATAAAATAACAATAATATTCTCACGACGTTTCGGCCACAACACAAGCGGCCTTCATCAGGTGAAGGGACGAGACTGTCTGGTAGGACAGCGCTGGAGTGACTTTACCGAAAGAACCAAAGAAGATGAATCCTTGCAGTCACGAAAGCTTTAAATCGAAATTTAAACTATAAACTATTTTCATTTTATCAGGTAAGGCCCACTGAGCTATGTAGCTCTTTTTCAGAAGTGACCTGGCCACAAACACTTGCTCAACGAAGTGGCTGATCATCATGTTGACATTCTAAAAGCCAAATACTCTAAACTAATGTTTATAAATGTGGAGGGAAAACCGTTGGACCCGGAGAAAAATCCACACAACCACAGGGAGAGAGACACGCAAACTCCAAATATACAGCAGGCGTCAGGGTAGGGATCGAACCCACGACCTCTTGTACACCAGGCGAGGTAGTTAACATCTCTCCATCGTAAAACACAATGTGCTAGGACAGGAGGAGTCACATGTGCTGGGCATCATCTGGGAGTGTTACAATTTTAAAGAGTGCTCCAGTTTGATTCGTGATTGTGGAGCAAACCACCTCTTTTACACATTCCTGTAATCCGCAATTTATGTTAACCATGGCCTGCATCTAGCTGTAGAAAATCCTACTATCCACGAAACGATTCCTCCTATCACATACGTCTATCTGCAGGTAAGACTGTATTATCCAGAAGTGGTCGTGAACAGTAAAAGTCATTCAGTGAATTCCTCCGATTATTCATGGGTATGAAGAGCACCAGGAAGTGGGTGTTGTGGTAATTACAGAAATGCTTTAATAACATTGCAGGTGATGTATTGATGCTGGTGATGATGCATGAATGATTACGAAGATGATGCTCATTGGATTAATGATGGATTGGTGAAGTTGATGATGATAGGTGGACTAATGATGATGAAATTGCCAACAATCAATAATGATGCCCTAGACCAGGGGTCGGCAACCAAAATAATAATAATAATGAGCCTTTTCTTGTCGAATTCGGTCAACAAAAAACCCAATATTTCAAGAGCCGTAATGCAACGTGAATAAGAGATGGTGGTCCGTAATAAATAAGTGCAATGAAGCGGCGGTCCTTAAAGTACTGCCGCAGGCACCTCCGGAGCCGCAGGTTTGCCGACCCCTGACATAGACGAAGGTTATAGTCGTGAGAACGCGAACTGGGCTTGCTGTCTTCACTCCAAAGCTGTCCTCTGGACAGTCCAGTCCCTTCACCTGATGAAGCCAACTTGTGTTGTGGCAGAAACGTCGTGATTTTTTGTTATTTTATTTTTACCTACATGACTTTACCGAATAGAACCAAAGAGTGTTTCATATATTTTATTGTTTCCCTTCAACGTGACTTTACCGAAAGAGCTAAGAATATTAAGGTTATAGTGTTGCTGCTACTACATGGTCCGGACGCTCATTCAGCATGGACAATGTTTTTGAACGTGCAGGTGAGATGACTACGGTGGAGATGGAGCCGCAATATAGATTTAATGAGCACATTTAGTATTTGTGCCACTCGTATAACATGAGGGCTATTGGTGTGAAGGTGCCGTGCTTTACGGTTCGTACATTTTACAGGACATTTCCGAATTGAGGTCGATGCGCCGAAGTGGCTGACCGTGAAAAATCGCAGAGAGTGAGCAGGCAACGAGTACCCCCCACGTAGATTGAATAATATTGCCAGGGCTTATTAGTGAAATGTTTACAGGTAGATAAAACTGCAATCGTGGCTTGATGCCTCAATCATCGCTTTCTTCAAAAGGACGATAAAGCCAATGTAATAAATTTTAGACCCATTATCCTCTTATCACATGTGTATATTTAAATCGCTGATGAAGATCAATGGAAACACAATAATGAACAGATTAGAGGCCACTGTGCAAAAAAAAACATACAATATAACCGGTATTGACCAAGCATCCGGGATTCTGAAAAATTGCCTGAAAATTATTGTTGGGGTCATACAGCACCAGTAACATCGCCCCCTACTGTTAAAGCCTTGCATGACCCTCCTGAAAAATAGCCTTGAGAAACTAGCGAGGCTTTTCTGGGTAAAAACGCGAAATAATAATAAACACCTCTCTAAATCAACGTGTAAATGTGGCTATATCTGCAAGGGTTCATGCAAATAGGTATGATTCTCATGGAGTCGGTTCTGTGAGAGTGGGGTGAGTGTTTGCACACAACAGAGAGCTGAGGGTGTCTGGATCAGGTGTGCATATGAGCGCGTGGTCACAATAAGTTGCTTCGGTAGACAAAAGCATTCAAATACACCAACACTAGTCACTGAACTATTTTTCCAGGTAAGGCCCACTGAGCTGTATAGCTCTTTTTCAGAAGCGACTTGGCCATGAATGATAGCTCAACGAAGTGGCTCACCGTGTGGAAATTTATAGCAGCCCAAATACTCTAAAAGCACGTTGATTCTAAATGTTGCATAAAAGTGCAGTTCTGCTAGTGCAGATAAGAGGTTACTCACAGGGATCTCAGAATTAGTTCTGTCGTATCTCCATCCACAGGACGTTCTCAATCATGGGGTGATGCACTTGGTCGCTGAAAGCTCCAAGCTAATTGTTTTTGTCTCCTGACACCGACTCATCGAACATTGTTGCATTTTATTTCAGATGATGCCTACCTGCTTCAGGGTCTATCTGTCGAGGAACTCTACCCAGATACGTCAAGCTACATCACATATGAAGGATCCATGACGACGCCACCCTGCTATGAGACCGTCACCTGGATAGTCATGAACAAACCCGTGTATATCACTCACCTGCAGGTCAGTCACACTGTGTACTTCTCTCTTGCTTAGGTCAGTTGACATATCTCTCTCACAATTACCATGTACATATTATACACATTTTTATAGTCCTTAAAATTGTTTGGAATAACTCGGACAAGTGTAAGGGGCACAGAAAATCAAATGATGTCAGGACAATGTTCAATAAACCACTTGCATAGCCTTTGCTTAATGCCAAAGAGTTCTGAATGGGTTGTGTACATATGATTGATTTAGGCCACTGTTGTCAGGCATGTTGAACAAGGCCGCCCAGCGCTCATTTTGAGCACTTTAGCTGCACTTGACAATTATGAATATTTCGCCGTTTTAAAATAAATAACAAAAACATTTACATCTAACAACTGACCCAAAGTGTATTTCTCAACACTCGCTGAAGTCAATTAGCTCTACTGTAATAGCGTCAACATTTAGCTCCAAGAAGCAGAGCCGACTAAACTGGGGACTACGTAAGTTAATTGATTTACTCTGTAAGTAAATGTTGTGGGTTTACTCTCCAACACACCGGCGTGCTGAACTCGTAACCAATTGGCACGTTTTGTTAACGTTACAAACCTTACTAATTAGCTGTCAGGTGGTGGTGGGTTTAACAATACATTTATATTCACGCGATCTAACCCAAAAACCTCTGGATAATATTGGTCATGAAAGCCTACTACATGTTAAACTACTCCATTGGGATTACATACAGTAGAGTTTTCCCCTAGCATTGCGCTATAATGGCACAAATACATGGAATTAATTCCATGGAATCCCATGTAATTCCACGGTAAAACTTATTAAATTATCATAAAATAATAACTTGGTTTGAAATCTAAATACAATACGTATTATGATTCCTATGGTTAGTGAATAAACACAACAGTATGAAAAACAAGAATAGGTTTTACCATTTCTGGCAATAAAACAGGGGGTGTTAAGATGTTCAAACACCAATTTGCAAGGAATCAAGTCTCCATTAACCACACGCACTTGTAGTGAACGTGCAAACAAACATGCTCTTATAATTAATGAATATATGCAGTTTTTGGAACTGATTAGCCTACACCAGAGACAGCCTTCTTTGGGAAGGCTAAAAAAGGTCCCATGATATAAATAACAACAGTATTTCAGGATGCTGAAAAGAGAGGTGGGATATGACGAGGCACATTTCTTATCCCCCGTTCTCCCCGTGTCCCTCCGGGTCACCCTTGGGAAAGCGTTTTAGCTCCCTGGGCCTCTCCTACCCTGGCTGAGCAAAAACAAACACTCAACTCCAAGAAAACAAAATTGGCAAAAGCACATCGTTCCCACGTAATTTGCATTTCTTTGCATTTCATGGTTTGAGGACTTAGAAAAAAATGTTGCAGACCTGATTTTAAAAAAACACATAGACATGCAATGGACTTCCCTTAGCCTTTGAGCTGTAAAGAAGGGTCATTGCCGAAACATCGCCAGAGTTATTGACGTGTTGAGGTTTTAGCGTTTGTTGTCATTTGTGCTCCACTTCCAACGCAGTCTCACCGAATAATTTGTTGAATTCATCATTTTGTTAAATACTTCAGCCCACCGGTGTGTTGGCGCGTTTTGTTTACATGACAAACCTTACTGGCTGTGTCGGGTGGTGGAGGGTTATGACACATTTATACTTACGCGATCTAACTCAAAAACCTTGATGAATAATATTGGTCGCGAAAGCCTACGTGTTCAAACTTCATTCATCAAGATGAGATTTGAGCCCTTTCACTTTACTCAAGTAGCAATGTATTTCAAACCCATGTGTGTGTGCACGTTGATCTGATGGAGTATTTTTTAAGTGAAATGGTTAGCATAATGGGACCTTAGGAGTGTTTACACCCGGAAGATATTGAGTGATGAGGCACGTCCGCCCATCCCTCAGACCAGTACCCCCACCAGTGATAATATTTGCGGGATGCATGTCCACTGACTTCAACAGTACATTATTGACACTTTAGCAGTCGGATGTTTAGAATTGTAAAATCCATTGTGTGTTCACCTCTTTTATAGATGCATTCCCTTCGACTACTCAGCCAAAACCTTCCATCCCAGATCTTTCTGAGTATGAACGACAACTTTAGGCCAACTCAAACGCTCAGTAGCAGATGCGTCCGCACCAATATCAACTTCAACTTTTCTGGCAGAGACTGCCCCAACAAGAAACCGCAAAAGCTGAAGTACAGAGGTGAGTTGGACAAAACGCATGTTTAACTGTCACCACTTGACGGAGGAGGACTTCTATATTTCACAAGCACAACTTACTGCACGTCCATATGATAGTGTGTTTACAATAGATCCAAATACAATGACAAGGAATGTATTGGTATATATATAGGAGCATAGGTCAAAAACACCTCACTGTAGTTAACACACGTTGCAATGTGACCACAAGATGGCAGTGCGGCAATGAATTGAATCAATCTGCCAATTTGTTACTAGTGTAGTGAGCAACTTCCGACACACGTCTGGTAGAAGGTTTCTTATTTATTAAGAGCACACAGGGCGATACACTTCGTAACGCGGCTACACCTAGGCTGTCCAAACACGCAGGCCATCTCTGTCCTGCACTACGCTGGCTGATTGACGAGCGTAGCGGCTGCGACAGAGCTGGTCTTGCAAAAGAACAGCCACGTGGTCGAAGACAAAGAGATGACGACGGCAGCGACGCAACCAGGACCCAGACCCTACACGAACAGCCCCGAAGCTCTGGTTGGGTGCTCCTTATATCTGGCATGGTCAAGCTCCAGCTCTGGCCACGCCCCCTCTCTAGAACCCGGGTTGGTTCCCGGAGCTTCTCGACTGACTCCACCCTTCACCGTTACCCCAGATACACACCTTCATAATAAGGTATTATGTAATGCAGCTCTAAGCGTAATTACCCCTATAGGTCGGCAGGTGTCACCCTGTCATTACACTAGCACAGCACATACCGGTGTGTTGGAGAGTTAAGTGAAAGTTACACCATAAAGCAATGATACAGCTTAATTCATTTCCAACCGCCATTCTTTAATTTAAAAGTGTTCAATGCCACGTGTGAGCCAGAAGCTTCTGTTGACTTTCACTCAAGCAATATCGGAGAACCCTGTGATTCCGCACTGTTAAATACAAATCCCAGAACAGGAGGCTGAAGTTGAGAATATTGTAATATATTGTGAATATCGATTTAAAGCTTTCGTGACTGCAAGGATTCATCTTCTTTGGTTCTTTCGGGAAAGTCACGTAGAATGAGAATAAAATAATAAATTAATACAATAAAATAACACAATAAAATTCTCACGACGTTTCGGCCACAACACAAGTGGCCTTCAGGTGAAAGGAACAGACCTGTCGGGAAGACAGAGCTTCAATGAACGTTGTTAAGATTCGTAGCGTCTTTTTAAGCTGGTTTAGAGAAGTGAGGCACCTTGACAAAGGGGTTTACATATCAAACAGGAGAATTTAGCATTGAAATAGCTGAGTGATTAGCTTGTGACTCGTAGTAGAAATAGCTATGTTAAAGTCAAAGCTTACACATCCACAGAGGCACCTAGTACAAATCAAACAAGATAATTTAGCATTGAAATAGCTGAGTGATTAGCTTGTGACTGGTCAGAAATGGCTATGTTAAAGTCAAAGCCTACACATCCACAGAGGAACCTAGTACAAATCAAACAGGAGAATTTAGCATTGAAATAACTGAGTGATTAGCTTGTGACTGGTCATAGAAATAGCTATGTTAAAGTCAAAGCCTACACATCCACAGAGGCACCTAGTACAAATCAAACAGGAGAATTTAGCATTGAAATAGCTGAGTGATTAGCTTGTGACTGGTCACAGAAATGGCTATGTTAAAGTCAAAGCCTACACATCCACAGGGGCACCTAGTACAAATCAAACAGGAGAATTTAGCATTGAAATAACTGAGAGATTAGCTTGTGACTGGTCATAGAAATAGCTATGTTAAAGTCAAAGCCTACACATCCACAGAGGCACCTAGTACAAATCAAACAGGAGAATTTAGCATTGAAATAGCTGAGTGATTAGCTTGTGACTGGTCACAGAAATGGCTATGTTAAAGTCAAAGCCTACACATCCACAGGGGCACCTAGTACAAATCAAACAGGAGAATTTAGCATTGAAATAACTGAGAGATTAGCTTGTGACTGGTCATAGAAATAGCTATGTTAAAGTCAAAGCCTACACATCCAGAGGCACCTAGTATAAATCAAACAGGAGAATTTAGCATTGAAATAACTGAGGGATTAGCTTGTGACTGGTCATAGAAATAGCTATGTTAAAGTCAAAGCCTACACATCCACAGGGGCACCTAGTACAAATCAAACAGGAGAATTTAGCATTGAAATAACTGAGAGATTAGCTTGTGACTGGTCATAGAAATAGCTATGTTAAAGTCAAAGCCTACACATCCAGAGGCACCTAGTATAAATCAAACAGGAGAATTTAGCATTGAAATAACTGAGGGATTAGCTTGTGACTGGTCATAGAAATAGCTATGTTAAAGTCAAAGCCTACACATCTACAGAGGCACCTAGTACATGGCCGCCAAAGGGGCTACAACAACTCGACTATCATATAGTAAACCGATGTGAAAAAACCTAAGTCTAAATTACATCAATATAATAAATGTACTCAATATATTCTTCAATAAGCTGAGCTATTAACAGTAACTGGGTATACACTACACTATATAATGAATACCATATAGTAAACCAATAAAAACTAAAATATAAACTACCTCAATGTTATCAATAAACTCTATATATTCTCCAATCAGCTAAGCTACCAACAATAAGTCGTTATATATCACAATGCTATATGGCGAAAAAATGGGTGGATTCTTACCCTCAACTTCAGCACCACGGATAGCTATGAGCCCCATTCAGACGGACGAGTTAATCCATGGTCGGAACGGAGGAGGGGGAGAGAGACAGCTGCGAGGCGCTGTTATACTCCATGTTGTAAACCATACCATTAACCTATAAACTAGCACGTTTTCTTGATGATATACTGCGACCTTTCACTGGAAAAACCACCTCTGCAGTACTAAATTCTACTCACCTGGTATCGACAAAGGCATTGCCCTGTCCCCAGACGACCTGCTTGTCAGTTTTGATGTGGTGTCCTTGTTCACCAAAGTCCCGGTACCTGACACCATCGCTATCATTGAAGACCTGGTTCATCAAGGACTGCATACTGATGTACCCCCCCTGGTGAGACATTGCTTAACCAACACATACTTCACCTGGAATGGAACTTTCTACAAACAAACTGTGGGCACCCCAATGGGCTCCCCCCTATCTCCGGTTGTAGCCAACGTATTCATGGAAAAATTTGAAACTGACGCCATCCAGACTGCCACTCTACGCCCGACCTTATGGAAGAGGTACGTGGATGACACTTTTGTCATCTGGCCACATGGCCAGCCTGCTCCAGACCACTTTCGCAACCACATCAATTCCATACACCCAGCCATCAGATTTACCATGGAGGTCGAAAAAGATGGCAAACTACCCTTTTTGGATGTCTTAATTAAAAGGAGACATGATGGTTCAATGAGCCACTCTGTCTACAGGAAAGCTACCCATACAGATGCTTACTTGAAACCGAATTCCCACCACCATCCATCCCAGAAGAACTCCCTCATCAAGACTCTATACCATAGAGCCCAATGCATTTCCGACCAGGAACACATTACCAGTGAACTCAAGCACGTACACCAGGCTCTCAGGGCTAATGGTTACTCCGACTACACAATCCGCAAAGCCATCACTCCAGTCATTAAGAAGGATCCTCTTGTGGAGCCACTCAAAACCATCACCCTACCCTACATTGCAGGGGTCACTAAAAAGATCTCCAATTCAACACAGTACATAAAATCCGTGATCTGGTTCCATCTGTAAAAGATGCTGTTCCAGACATACAGTACCCGGGCGTTTACAAACTAAAGTGCCTCTGTGGTAGTAGCTACATTGGAGAAACCAAACGACATATCTCGGACCGCATCCGCGAACATAAAGCAGACTTGACACACGGTAGAACGAACTCCTCTGCCGTTGCAGATCACTGTTATAATTCAGTGGGCTCACATGACATTGACTTCTCCAAGACGGAGGTTCTTTGCAAACCAACCGGCTACCATGAGAGATTCGTTCATGAGGCCATTCACATATACAAGCACAGAGACAATTTCAACCGAGAAGATGGATTCTGGCTTAGTAACCATTGGAAAGATGTTTTAAACCATTTCGGTTCTTAATTAATTGTATATTACGATGACCTTCAGACCGCAGCTCTTTCGCTGGCATTGACTCTTAATACCTCTCACACCACGGTTAATGGTATGGTTTACAACATGGAGTATAACAGCGCCTCGCAGCTGTCTCTCTCCCCCTCCTCCGTTCCGACCATGGATGAACTCGTCCGTCTGAATGGGGCTCGTAGCTATCCGTGGTGCTGAAGTTGAGGGTAAGAATCCACCCATTTTATTGTTGGTAGCTTAGCTGATTGGAGTATATATAGAGTTTATTGATAACATTGAGGTAGTTTATATTTTAGTTTTTATTGTTTTACTATATGGTATTCATTATATAGTGTAGTGTATACCCAGTTACTGTTAATAGCTCAGCTTATTGAAGAATATATTGAGTACATTTATTATATTGATGTAATTTAGACTTAGGTTTTTTCACATCGGTTTACTATATGATAGTCGAGTTGTTGCAGCCCCTTTGGCGTCCATGTACTAGGTGCCTCTGTAGATGTGTAGGCTTTGACTTTAACATACCCATTTCTGTGACCAGTCACAAGCTAATCACTCAGGTATTTCAATGCTAAATTCTCCTGTTTGATTTGTTCTAGGTGCCTCTGTAGATGTGTAGGCTTTGACTTTAACATAGCTATTTCTATGACCAGTCACAAGCTAATCACTCAGCTGTTTCAATGCTAAAATTATCCTGTTTGATTTGTACTAGGTGCCTCTGTGGATGTGTAAGCTTTGACTTTAACATAGCTATTTCTATGACCAGTCACAAGCTAATCACTCAGCTATTTCATTGCTAAATTCTCCTGTTTGATATGTAAACCCCTTTGTCAAGGTGTGCCTCACTTCTCTAAACCAGCTTAAAAGACGCTACAAATCTTAACAACGTTCATTGAAGCTCTGTCGTCCCGACAGGTCTGTTCCTTTCACCTGAAGGCCACTTGTGTTGTGGCCGAAACGTGAGAGTTTAATTGTTATTTTATTAATTTATTATTTTATTCTCATTCTACGTGACTTTATCGAAAGAACCAAAGAAGATATTGTGAATACCCAACCAAGTGTACACACAGTATATTGACGATCTTGTATTGATGTCTAATCACTTCATTTAAACACGTTTTCTCCTTGCTCACATGCATGCCCATCAACGGTCCAAATTGAGCAGTGATTAAAACCCACACTCAAACATGAGTCGGTGTTCTTATTCTTACACTTAACATGTGGATGTTTCCCAGGATTATTATCAGAACCATTTTATTGAGTTGATGAATATGCTGGAATAATCTAATTGTTGTGTTCATTTGCTTACTGCAGTTTTAAGCACATTCAACATTTACTATATTATAAAAATAACACAAATTAACTATTTTTTATGTTTAAAGATATTCTCTGTCAGCCAGTCGGGTACATTGAGCAGGTAATTGGATAATTCTTCATCATGCGTGACAATGTGAAACGTTGGCTAAATGTGGTACCTATCGAGTACACGTTAGCAAATAATGTTCGTGGAATCCAGAACAAATACATCAGTGGACTCGATTATCCGCATGCGTTTTATCCGATTTGCGGATTAACCGCACACACCTGAGATTTTGACGTAAATAACTCATGGATATTTCCCTTAAGCCCAAATTAATAATCTTAAAACAGTTGAAGTTATTCTTAGAAATGTTTATTACAAGTCACGTGCTTAAACTGAACAAATATGTGCTCCAGTTAATCCGAAATGCATGTGATCGCCTTTACAGTGCAGTCGATGCAGATCTTTATAACAGTGGGTGGAGTTTGATTGATGATTGGTGGCTGGCCCTGCTGCTGTCCACTTAGTGGGCCGAGTCTTCTGCTCGAGAGCAGAAAAGTGCTATCACTGAGCACACACGTCATCAATCGCTCAATCGTTAGTATTCGTTCTAAATTGAAAGAGCAAGAATCGAAATTGTCAGTTTTGCTTCAAAAACCACTAATGTATACCTATATAAGTGGTTTTGGCATAGAGATCCGCAGAAAATGGATATTTATTTGATTATCCGCGATTCTGAATTATCCGCGGCCGTCCTCCCCATCATTTGCGTGGATAATCGAGTCTACTGTACGTTATACTTTAATATATCACATTTGCATACTCTGCTCTGAATGTTGTAAGGTGCACAACTGTAAATCGGTTATACGATCGTAACATCATTCTACTTAAAGTTCTTCTCTTGCTCTTTTTTTAGTCAATGAAATTATTTTGAAATAAGAAGAAACTATTCAACACTCACGGTGCACAAGAAACCCGTCCGTACTTTTCTTTGCAAGGTGTACATTGGAGAATATTGAGAACGAGGGTGCATAACATTTTGATAATCACTTATATTCTTTATTCTGGAATCCACAACGGCTGGGGGGGGCGGAGGGGGGGCGGCGCTTCCCCACATGGCAACATCATCACGGCACTTGTGCGTTACCTGACCGTGTTACCTGGCCGTATTGCCCGGCCGTGTTTCCTGGCCGCGTTACCCGTCCACGTTACCCGGCCGCGTTACCCCGCTGTTACCCGGCCATGATACCCGGCTGTGTTACCCGGTTTTGTTACCTGGCCGTGTTACCCGGCTGTGTTACCTGGTTGTTACCCGGCTGCGTTACCTGGTTGTTACCCGGCTGCGTTACCTGGTTGTTACCCGGCTGTGTTACCTGGTTGTTACCCGGCTGCGTTACCTGGTTGTTACCCGGCTGTGTTACCAGGCTGTTACTCCGCTATGTTACCAGACTGTGTTACCCAGTTGTGCTACCCGACCGTGTTACGCGGCCGCGTTTCCCGGTCAGAGCGATCGTGTTCGCAATTGGTAACAAATTCTGACGCTTTCCAGCCACGGTAAATTAAATGACCAAAATGAATGTTAAATTTAATTATAATCTAAAACTGTACCGTACTACTGTTGTCTTTTCACTCATGTTTATGCAAAGTAGATTATTAATTTCCCATGACCAATTTAGGAAATCCAGTATTTTAGTGATTTCTAAAATGGAAAGTGAAGACTATCTCTATATTGGCTGGTTTATAAGTATTGAAGTCATAAAAAAACTGTATAGTGCATTGGGATGCAACAGTTTCTCCCTGGTTTGTGTACGTGCCAAGTTAAGGCATGATGGTGAATGTGTTCAGGCCGTACGTGTAGTGTACATGAAAAAAAACCTAAGATTTTTGTACGGGTAGCAGAAGCAAAATTGCTCATCCTTCTCGTTTCAGCCTCTCAAAACGTTGCGGTGAATTCGCTGAAACAAATTGCGATGGTCCCTTTTTCAAGAAGTGGGGCGGAAAAAGGCTCTTCGCTCCAGTTAAGTGAGCTCTTTGCATGGCTGCGGTAGCTTTCAGGAGATGAGTTAAATGCTGAACATGCCCCAACTCAAAACACACCAACCAGGTGGCCGGACATAAGCGCAAACTTAAAAAAATCTGAGACAAATGTAATTTTAGCAGTGGTGGCTCATGGCTCCAGTTTGACAAGGAATCAAACTCCGCTTCAGGCATTTTCCAAACTCCGGTTGAAATACAGGCAGGACTCTTCGGTCACTTGAGTACTGTGACGGCAACGTCATGCCAGTGGATTGAGTCAATCAACATTGATTGGACAAAAAACATGAAATGAGGTAACCTTCCGGTAAAGATATTTGAAGACTCGCAGAGGCTTTTGTTACAATAAAACAATTGTTAATCATGAAGTGGGATTTTCTCCAAGCGCAACCACACGTTGCCCTTCTCTTCCGATCGCCAATACAATCCACCCGTACACATTACCATCGAGGACTGGGAATCCCATGGCAGAGAGTCCGTTTCCTGAAAAATACAACTGAAGTCATGAGCTGTGTATACTGTAGCCAATTGTGTTTTATATGGTTGTATGAATGCAAACTTGTAGTGAGTTCATGACAAGCTCTGTGAGTTTGGGATGGGGAGGTTTCAGAATCTGAATTTATAGTGCAGGAGGAATCCAATCCAATGAGCTATAAAACTATTTCCACAGATGTCCAGTAGGAGACAAGGGGACAGAAGGTTACACCAAACTATGCAAAAGCACAATAGGAGTGCAAAGTATAGGAAAGGTAAGCAAATCACAAAAAAAAGATTTTACCAGCATATTTTTCAGAAGCGACCTGGCTATCATAAATGATGGCTCAATTAATTGGCTTATCACTAATGGCCTGTGTTCCGTTTCCCGACTCGGGGGCCCGAGAATGCCGCAAATTCGAGGTGCGTGGAGTTAAGTAAGATACCTGGAAATTACTCAGGGATTATACGCAACATCGCCTGCTCCCCCCTGCTGCAAAACCTGGCAGGACTCTTCTGAAAAAAGTATTGAGACTCCATGAGACTTTCCCGGTTAAACAAGTAGTATAATCTTGATTTGAAGCTTTCTGCAGGAATCCATACTCTTTGGTTCTTTCGGTAAAGTCCCGTAGATAGAAAATTATTAATAGATCTCGACGTTTCGATCGCAACACCAGTGACCGTCTTCAGGTGAGAGAAAGCTACTGAAACAAGGTATTATGTAGGCTTGAGATGGATGCAGCCTCTGGGTAAGAGGGCGGGGCTAGAGATGGTCTGCCTGAGGCTGTGGAAGTGGCTATTGTATTGTGAGATATTAGCATATCAATGCACGAGCTTAGTGTGCAGCAGCATCGGTGACTTGCCTAGTATGTCGCAGCATCGGTGACTGAGCGAGAAGGGCATCCAAGCCCGTCAATACAAAGACATCCAACCTAATAATGCAACTCAGAGAGTCAGCTGAAATCGCAGGAAGGATGGAAACATCACAGCAGGTTAAGACTTTACCTGGTTAATCACGTCCTTCCAATGTTTGCTCAATTTGTACCCATCTTCTCGGTTTAAGTTGTGCCTGTGTTTATATATCTGGATGGCTTCATGAACAAATCTCTGATAGCCAGTTGGTTTGCAGAGTACCTTCGTCTTGGAAAAATCTATTTCGTGTGTGCCCACAGCGTTCAAACAATGATCTCCAATGGCAGAGGTATTGGTCCTATCGTGCTTCAGATCTGCCTTGTGTTCGCAAACACGGTCCGAGACATGTCGTTTCGTTTCCCCAATGTAACTGCTGAATGTTGGGACATTCTGTCTACAGGAAAGCCACCCACACGGATGCCTATCTAAAGCCTGACTCCCACCACCATCCAGCCCAGAAGAATTCCCTCATCAAAACACTACACCATAGGGCCCATTGCATCTCTGACCAGCACCACCTAGCCAGTCAGGTGGAGCACGTACACCAAGCCCTCAGGATGAATGGATATTCTGACCGTACAATCCTCAAAGCTGTCTCCCCACCCATGGGGAGACAACCATCTGAGGGAATTCTTCTGGGTTGGATGGTGGTGGGAATCAGGCTTTAGATAGGCATCCGTGTGGGTGGCTTTCCTGTAGACAATGTCCGGGTGGTGGTGGGTTTAACGACATATTTACACGATCTAACCCAAAAAACCTGTATTAAGTTGAATAATAAATCGACTTGGGGTAATCAGTGTTGCGAGTCGAAAGTGTTGGGTTTGTGCAGGGGTCGGCAACCTGTGGCTCCGGAGCCACATGCCGGCGGCTCTTTAAGGACCCCGCTGCTGCTTTGCGACATTATTTATGAATGACCACCACATGGTATTGTGCGGCTCTGGAAATATTGAGTTTTAAACCCAATTTGAAAAAGAACAAAAATCGGCTCTTCTCGTTATTTTGGTTTGCCGATCCCTGGGCGAGTGGCATTCAATAACCTCTGATGCAGTACACGTCTAGTTGTGGCTTTCACGTTAGTAGTTTGAGCTAGTGCGGGGTTAGTGGGAGAGATGCCCTAAGAGAGCAACTGGAGGTAAGAAAGTGCAGGATGGCAAAGGCTGTTTCGCTTGGTATTTTGTTCGATGTGGGGGAGGCAGGAGAGTAGGCATGTGTCACGAAATAAATTAGGCCTTCAACGGTGAAGCATCCTCTTGATGGCGACTGAGGCGAAGCGGAGGAACGCGAGCGTGAATGGGGATGTGTGCAAGTTCGTTGTGGAGTGGCAATCGACACTTTGCATTATGGGAAAAGCGAGTTTTGTAGAACACGTCAACTATTGGTTACAAGAGATTGGTAGTTTAGACAGGAATAAATGCCTCGGTTAATATATATGGGTCCGAGAGCTCTCCTGTAACGTTGCAGCTGGAAAAAGAAGCCTCCCTACTTTTAATACTGATCCATCAATCTTACTTTCTGCGTCCTCTATATCGAAAACTAAACAATTTTTATTTTCACCTCACTGAGCGCTGCGCTTTCTTCTGGTTAAAACAAGGCTCATGATAAATGTCAAGATTAGTTCCTCCGTAAACCTCCATGCCACTGTATATTTATTTAAGTTGTTGGTATGAATGGAAACAACTTTGTGAATTCCTCCCTGATGTTTTGGCCAGTTTTATCATTTTCACACCAAAAAAAATGGTGAAACGTATTTCTGACAAGTTAGGAATTAGGCTTCATAGTGAGAACGTTATGCGTCAGTGTTATTACAGTTGGTGACCCTTTTTTGCTCATGACAGCCAAGGTCAGGATGGACTCCGAGATAATTATTAGTACTGTAGCATTGAACAAAAGTGTTTCTTGTTAACACCCTTCAAGTGGTGACTTGACCTAGTAGAAACGCGTTCACCCACTTGTTGCAGAGGCCCATGGATCAAACCCAGCAGGCCGCCCTGGTTAATAATTTCGGGAGTTGTATGAACCACAACGTACGTTCCGTCTGCTTCCGAGTGGATGTTGAAGAAGAGGAAGGAGGCCATCGTGCGAGGCCTGGGTGATGGTGCAACTTTATCAAATAAAAAAAATACTCGCTAACTTCTTAACTGAGAAATTATGACAATCATCACCCCTTTCCTGCAAAAACTTATCAGGACCCTCCTGAACAAGCTTGGAGACTCGGTGAGGCTCTCCTGGGTTAACAATTAATAATGATCAGTATATTAATTAGCTATGAGGATTTAAAGCTTTCGTGACTGCAGGTATTCATATTCTTGGTTCTTTCGGTAAAGTCACGTAGAAGGGAAACAATAAAATAAGAAAAATATAGAATACAATTCTCACGACGTTTCGACTGCAACACAAGCAATCATCATCAGGTGTGAAAACCACAACAATCGTCATCAGGTGTGGTTTTCACACCTGATGATGATTGCTTGTGTTGCAGTCGAAACGTCGTGAGAATTTTATTGTTTTATATTTTTATTATTTTATTGTTTCCCTTCTACGTGACTTTACCGAAAGAACCAAGAATATAGCTATGAGGACTTGAGGATATACTAAGTGTGAGCAAAACTTTTCCAAACAAATTGGTGAGTTGAAATGTATACCATTTCAATCAAATAAGTTTATCTTTACGTGATAATTCAAATATGAAAGAAAAAACTAGAATTTTCTGGATATTTAATTCTCTATTTCCGAGCAGGATCTTTCGTGAGGAGCACTGGGTTGAGTGTCGTTTAATGTATTTACAGCCACCACATCTTCCTTGAGGTGAAACAGAGCTTCATGTGAGATTATAGAAAGGTTATGAAGCTTCTTATAAAAAAACATTGTCATATCTATATTAGAAGTTATTGGGTTAGATCGCATAAATATAAATATATCGTTAAACCCACCACCACCGACAGCCAATTGGTAAGGTTTGTCTGCTAAACTTTTAACGAATTGGCATGTTTTGTTGACATGACAAACCTTACTAATTGGCTGTTGGGTGGTGGGGGGTTTAACGACACGTTTAGATTTACGCGATCTAACCAAACAAAAACCTCTGGATAATATTGATTGCGAAAACCTAATACTACGTGTTAAACCATCGTAATGTGTAAAAACAATTAAAGTATTAGGCTGGAAATTTTGTTTATTTCATACTAAAAACATGTTATCCAGTGTGTGACACCATGCCACATAATTAACTTTTGTCTATACAGATAGGACAATGTGCGTGCCATTTACATTGACCGAAAGAGTTGCCATGCTTCTCAGGGTATGAAAAAGACAAAGATCCCCCGTGTAGCCTTCACAGACTTGGGGCAAGTGCTGTTAGTGAGCACCTATTAAGGCCAGCACGGCACACGAGGGGGTGGGTGGCAAACACCACGCCCGACCGACGATGTTTACACACCGCACCAGGTACTCATTTGAGGGTGAGTTGACCTAGGGGAGGCCCAGGATCGGTTCATATAATCGTCACTGGTGTTAGCCGTGAGCGGGAATTGAAAGTCGAGTCACCGGGTTCATATCGCAGCGCGCTGACCACTCCACTACCGCTCCCCATGATGATGCACAGTGTCACATGCATGGTGCAATATTAATGAGATTTTGTGCATCCTACACGCCAATTACGTTCGTGCAAAGCTCCACCTGCAAATCGATCAACGCAGGACAGACATGGGTCACACACATGTGCGCTAAGGGCCCCCCTTTCATCGTGGACAAATGCTCCCTCTGAAAAATGTTGATATCAGCATCAGTGGGAATGGGGCAAATTGTCACGTTGATATGCTGCAGCCATTCCGTTAATATGTAAATCTGAACCCCTCTTAACTTTCTCATGGAGATGTGTGGGACAGATATAGCAAAAGTGCAAAGATCTTCCTTTTGGTTTGGTTCGTTGCATCAACTCTTAGCACAATTAGCCACATTTAAATATGCTTCTCTGATTTGTTAAAATTACTAAACTAGTTACATCTTAGTTGATGGAATAAAGCATATTGGATTAAACTGATGATAAATAGATAAGATATTGAGGAAAGAAAATACTTTCTGGCCAGGCAAATCAAGAGATCTAGAACTCAAACGGTACTGTTCTGTCTAGG